TAAGAGACAGAGAAATAAATACACCATTTCCATTGCCATTTGAAGAAAGAAGATGTATTAGACTGTATTAAAAGAGAAAGAACACAGTATTAATTTTAACAAAGGTTCGCCAGCATAAAAATCTGGAAAATAATACTAATTTTGTTCTGGTTTTGGTTTTGGCTTTTTTTCCACAAAGTGTGGTGTTCCCTTCCAAGAGGAAGATGTGATTGTCCTTAATGGTAACAAGGAAGATGTGGAAGTATTGAAGAAAAGGATGGAGGACAGAAGACTTAAAAGTAAATTAGAAAAGGTAATAGTTTTGTATGTTATTTAATACAAAATTGAAAGAATTCTTATCTGCAGTGCAATCTACTCTTAAATTTGCTAATCTTTATGCAGATGGAAGACTTCAGGCAGTGAGCTGTGTTGTATTTAAGCACTGCTTTTAAAAGCAGTAGGGTTGTGTGTGTGTTTTGCCAATGACTTATTGAAGTTGTATGTACTGAAAGTTTCTGCTGACCAGCAGGCAGTGCCCAGTGCTCTGGAAATCACTGAATTCCGTGCTGTGGGTAACATGGACAATGTGCCAGCCATACTTCAGGGTTTTCTTGACATTAATTCATTCTAATAATGATCTGCATTGTCCCAGTATTTCACGTGGTAGTTCCTGGTGACAAGTTATTAGTGTTTTAATCTCCAAGTCTTTTCTGTTGGCCACAGAAACACGATATTGGGATCTGTACATTCCTGGTGTGATGCTGTAAGACCACAGTATGGAAATTTTGTCATGTTTTGTGGTTCTCACAATCCTCAGCAATTACTGCAGTGCTCATTCCCTCCATACTGTTGAGATCTTTGCATTTTTTATCTGACCAGGCAAAATACAATGGAAATAAAGTCACTGCAGCTCTGGGTCCTCTCTGCTGTGTAACTACTCCTCTGTGGAGTATTAGTAGTTCTGTGGCACTGAGCAGTCAAATGACAATTCTGCATATGGGAATTTTTTCAGCCTTGCTGTTTTTTCCTGACCTGCCATTGCTGTTCTGGAGGATGACAAAGCAAACAAAACCTTCAGTGCTGACTCAGGCCAGGTGCAGACAGACTTTGCTGAATCTCAAGAACATGAATCATTGTCTGACACTTCCAGCAACTGAGACTTTAGATGGAGGTTGATCATCTCACCCCTGTTACTGCCCTAGATTTTGTCTGCTGTACATTACGTGGCATGCAAATATTTTCCTGGTTTGTTTTAAAACAAATACTTGTTTACTTGCCAGTGAGCATATGATTCCTTCTCATCATAAGATCTTTATTCATCTGTGCCAGGACAGCATCAGTGGGCCCGGGCAATACATCAAAAGGATGGTTATCCATAGAAATCCTGCTCTGCTGTTTCCACTCTTTCATAGCCTCTACATGTCATGTCCTACAGCTCCTGGCATAAGAGCAAAAACCTCATGATGTATCTTCAGATGTTTTTTCTTTTTTTTTTTTCCCCTCAGTACTTAGTACTTAAATGTTTAAAAAAAAAGTACAGATAATTTGATGATAGACTATTGCAGATTTCAGCAGATGAGGGCTCAGCCCCAAAAGCAGTGATTGCTTGCACTTGATTTTCTTTAAGAGGATGGTCCTAACAAAGCACCTCTAGCTTTGGGTCAGATAATTTGGAATAGTCTGAAAGCTGGTGCTGTTCCCAACTTTTGCCCAGCAAAGAGGTACCTGAGCGTGTTGAGCAGTCCTGGCTCTTACAGTGCCAGCACAGTCACTGTGGTGGCAGCCAAAAGGACACCATGCCTTGGTCCTTGGGCTCTCTGTGCCTTGGGTGAATATGCAAATGCTATTTGTTTGATCTGTGGAGACTTATATTACAGGCAGGGAACTGGATTTGCCAATCTCTCAGCATTTAATCCTCAAGTTCTGATGTTGCTGTCCCAGCTGGTCTGTGCAGCTCAAACCAGTCTCTGTCACTGGCACCATTCGCTCTGATCTGAGACCTGGGAGCTCCAGTCCCAGTATGAGAGGACAACTTCCAGTGTGTTGGCACAGATTTCTTACTCAGTTACTGCAGAGCAAGCTAAGTGGACCCCCTGTATTTGGAGCAGGAAGCACAAACTCCTTTTCTTTGTCTCCATCAGACAAAACATCAGGAAGATGCACCAGCACTAGCATAAAAAAATTATTCAAGCTTGACTGTGTCATATGTGCCCATAATGAAATGCATCTGTACTCTATATTATGCATAAAGAATGTATGCATCCATACATTTACAAACATCTCGTGGTTCAGATGCCAGACACTGGGAGGTAACTTTTCTTTGTAAATCCACCCATAACAAAAAGGTGGAAACACCTGCACAAAGGTTTTTCAGATACCCTGAAGGCCAGGTTGGATTGGGCTTGGAGCAACCTGGGCTAGTGGAAGGTGTCCCTGCCCATGGCAGAGGGTGGAACGAGATGAGCTTTAAGGTCCTTTTCCAGCCCAAACTATTCCATGATTCTGTGACACCAGGAGAGCCAAGTTTGCTTTCAGAGCCATAACCCTCTGCCACCACCTCCTGGCTCAGCTTTGCAGCAACATTTGCAGTGGCATTTTTTCCCTCAAGCATTAATCCTTTGCTTCACAGCGTGGGTTCTCCTAGTTTTTATAACAGAATTAAATAGATTTATTTCCTTGGAGTTTGTGCAGATGTCTTGAAACATGTACACCATTCTGAATGTATCCAGCCATCTTTTGTGAAAACAATGCTAAGGACTGTTTTAATACATCTTTCTTTTTTTCAGCTTAGCATTTATGTAATCAAAGCCAGTAATGGGATTCTTATTGCTGTAGTTTGGGTTTTTCTATGGTTTTTAATCTGGAAAAACATAAATTAATTTGGAAAATCTGCTGCACAGATGCTTTTAAATGATTTAGATCAACTATTTGCATCTCTTCTTCCCAAGCAATCATGCAAGAAAGGACCCTGTTACTGAAGAATAGCCAGGAGGGATTTTTTATCAGCTAAATAAAATTAAGTGGATATGAGATGCAGGATTCTTCTGGAATTTTTATAGAAAATCTATTGATTACAGTTAACTGTCCTGTTTAATGTTTTGCAATTTACTGTCCTGCTGTGTGGGTTCAGAGTATCAGATAACCTTAATGATAATAACACACACCCCTGTGAAGTATGAAAACCAAAATACTGAATCCAGGCAAATCTAGTTTGGGCCTACACAGTTTTCTTTAATGTAACTCCAGGGTTCCCAAGATTATTCTTTTTTTCCACATAGAAATAATACAAAAAATGTGGAAGGAAGAGTTCCACTGTGCAAGACATAAAAATGTACTAAATGAAGCTGTGTGTCTATCGAGTACAAGTTGGGAATTGTACATCCTTTCAGGATGTTACCAGGACTCTGCTTGTGTTGTTTCAGAAATCAAAGAAATGCAAGTCAGCAGGATCAGCTTCTCAGCAAGAGACCACTGAAGGTAATGTCCCAGCTCCAAATTCTATGTCACCTTCTGAGTCATGAAGCAGATTCATGATTTCATTTTTTTTGTTCTTTCCTTTTTTTTTTTTTTTTTAGATTCTCCAGGTCCCTCAAAAGCTACAAATGGAAAGGATTTTATCAATTCCAGCTCTGGGGAAAAGAGACAGATTATCTTCACCAAAAGCTCAGGTTGGTGTTAATTCTTTAATCTTAATGTGAAAAATTTGAACAGGTTTGCTTGTTTATGTCATTCTAATATTGCTTTAAGTTGGTGGGAACCATCCTGAATGATTGAAATCAGAGATTCTTATTCACACAGTGATGCAGTCGAGGGTTTGGTGTATCAGTCTTACTGTCTAGGAGGTAGTGGAGGAAAATTAGTAGTTTCTTGAGGTACAAGTGGTCAAGAAATACATTCTGGTAGTTTATTTTGGTGAAGTGTGTGAAAAATTCCTGGTTACCTGACTTGTAGTCCTCCTTTTTAGCTGCTAATTTGCTCTGTGTCCCTGGGAGTAGTGGAGTATAATTCAGGATGCACTGATGTACCTACAGCAGCCTTGCAGCCATGAGTAAACTTGGCAGCCCTTTAGTCCAAAGGATGGTGCCCTCTCTTTATTTAATATATATCCTGTTATTCAATGTCTGCAGTTCATACTGATGTTTTCATACCAAACTATAAGAATGGGTACATTTTTAAGGTCAGTCTGAGTTTTCTGTGTAAAGTATTAAATCATGTCTGTTACAGCCACGGAAAAAGTCAGAATAATTGGAAGAATCTGAAAGTGTTTAAATGATAAACTGTGGGAGAAATTCCATCTGCAAATGCCTGACCTGCCCTCTAGTGTCTGCTTTTATACAGGATAGGCTTTTAAAAATGTTTCATTCTACATAATTATAATTGCTCTTGGATGTTTAGCAGCCTCGGAATTCTAATAATGTTTAATGAGCTTTTATTTTCTGACGGTGTAAAAGAAAAAAATATACTTTCTGAAATGTCAGGTCATTGGTTTCTGTTTCTGGCAGCAGTTATATTGACCAACAAGAGGTAAGAGGAGAGAGGGAAAATAAAGGAAGATCCATGAGGAATGCCAGTGGCACAGAAATGAATTTGTGAACACGGCACCCTGAGGGTTCTGGACTTGCAGCACAGTCATTCTTTCAAATCCAGTGCTTGGTAATGCTTTCCAGACAACTATTGGTGGCGTTACAAGTAACATTCTCCAAGTATAAAAGGGTTTCATCTGTGAGGATTTAGGATTGCACATACAATTCCTGTGAGCAGAAGGCAGCTCAGTGCATTTTCAGACAGGCTCCCCACAGCTATTTACAAGTTGTTGTGCCTAAATTAAACTAAGGATGTTGAGTTTCTGCAAACTTCTCTCTTCATTTCTTTGCAGCAGAGACTTGGCATGTGCTTTTTCAAATACCACCCTGCAACTTGGGAGAAGATTCAATAGTTGTTAAGAAAGAGAGGGAGTTTTTTTGTAGCAGTAATATAATCCACTGAGAGAAGTGGTATCAGAAACAGAGGGATGGGCATTTTCCTACTACAAACATAAAATGGTGCAGGCCATTGTTACTGTTCATAAATGACTTTGCAAAGAATAAAGGGAGGAGAGAGATTCCCTGGGGAAGGTATGTGACAAGTTTAGCTTTTGGCATTTGATAGCTAATTTCTGAACAATACTGCAGGGTGGTGGGATGCTTTCGTGTTTCTGAAGACTAGAGCTCAGAGCCATTTTTCACTTAGAGGAATAAATATTGTCAATACTGAATTGCAGTGCAAGGGATTTACACAAATAGGAAAGAATTCTTCTTTCAAGATTTCTAAGTGAATTTGAGTGTGAATTCTGAAAGGTGTTGAGTACAATTTGAGATATTTATGATAGAACTCAGAAGTGTATGTATTTCATCTCTGTACATTATTTTCAAAATACTCTTTTTCGTCTTTATTGAGGTCCTTTTATCAATTTTAAGCTGTTATTCATGCTTCACTCTGTTCCTTTTTCTCTCCCAGAAAATGGCAATTCATCTGTCTCAGCAAAAGTCAATAAGGCTCCTTCTGCTACTACGAAGAGACCCATTGCAGACAGCGAGGAGAAGTCTGAGGCGTACAAATCTATTTTTACAACACACAGCTCAGCAAAACGTTCAAAGGAGGAGTGTTCCAATTGGGTTACTCACACAGCTTACTATTTCTGAAACAATGAGCAGCCTGGTTGGAACATCCACTGCTGCTTTCCTTCCCCAAGGCTTTTTCTGTACAACTCTGATACTTTCGTCGTAATCTGATATTATCTGGAGTTACTCGGTTTGTAGGTTGTTTGTAAACTTGCTAATAACTAATGAACTCGTGTTAGTTGCAACTTCTGTTAAAGAAGAAATAGATCACCAGAATCCACGTTGTAGCAGCAGACCTCATTCTGAAATGTTGAATTTTTTGCACGGAAGTTTTTCTTTTCTCGTTCCAGTTGGGTGTTGTCATCCTTATTCACACTGGCTGTGTCCTCAGGAGGAGGAAAGGGAGAAGTTTCTGCCTGCTCTTCTCCTCTGTTGATTTGTGCCACACCTGTAATTATAGTTTTCAAAGTATTAGTACAGAATTCAAACTTCCTGCAACTCTCTGACAGCAAAAAGAGCAATAATGCTGTTTTTCCTTGAAGCTAACTGGGCCCTTGGTAGAACTAGTGTATGATCCTAAAAGGTTCTGTAGGTGTTTTCAAATCATTTACCTTTTGACAGAATATATGAGAGCACAATCATGAAAATGTTTGTGCAGCATTTTTCTTATACATATTGTTGTAGCCTGTTCTTGGTAGCAGAATATTTGCTTATAAATCTTATCTTTAAAGAGGAGCCTGTAAAGAGGCTGTTGTTTTCCCAGCAAGTTTTGGGGTTTCTACATGAAATGACCAGAGGGAGGGATGGAAGTTTTTCACCTTCCTTTCTCCCTCTTTTAAAATTGAAATGTGCTTTTATAACCTTGGCACCAACTAACCAGAATAGAAATGCAGAAATTGGGAGGCTTTTAAAACCCCTGCATCATGTTACCTTTGTGTGTGAAAATTATTAATTCTCCTCATAATTCATTTTTAAAAGTGTCCCCATTTATAATTGGGCAATAGTTAACTGAAGATTCAAATGCTGTGTTGATATTTGCATAGGTGGTCTCTGTGATTCAAGCAAGGTGAATGAAACTGCTGGGATTTTATTATTATTTTGACAGGTATAATTAAAAATTGGCTTGTTGTAGAATTTATATGGTGGTAAGAATTTTTGTTTTCCAAAGCTGTGAATGCACATATACATCACATCAAACACTTTGAGGTTTACTGGAGCTCCCAGGAAGCCACATTTTGTATGCATGTCTAGGAATCAGCTTTGTTCTCCCTGTTCTATATTCTTTTCATTATTATCCTTTATTACTTGTTGCTTACAGATAATGAAATTACTGCACTAACAGGTGTACCACATCAGGTCCTTTATTTGCAGTGTAATTGTTTGACAATACATGAGTGCACTTTTCTTCTAGTTATAATTCCTAAGGAGAATTAAATTAATGCTTTTCATTTAGCTATTACTTTGCTAAAGAAGTAGCAAAATATTTAAAACTATTTCTTACTAATATTCAGGCAGAGTCCAACTTCTGGTAACAGACTTTCCTGCCCATTGGGCCATTATAGTGACTTCTTTTTTCAGTTTGATCTGCTCAGGTATTAAAATAATTTCATGATTGGCATGATTTAGTTAGTGTACAGGTTCTTCCTGTCCCTTTGGGTTTATTAGATTGTGCTGTGTCACTCTGGGAGGGTTGTGTTCAATATTCCACCATCCTGACGTGGTGAATGGAAGTTCTTAAAAAGTTTATGGTTTGTAGAAGTGTTGGCAGTGAGTGCTGAGGGCTTTTCCTTCCCTTTTCAGAAAACCAGCAGTGAAGGAATGTGATATATTGCTGGCATGTGATGCAATTCCTGGCCACAATTGACTGTTGTTAGTGTAAAACAGAGGAGCCCAAACTGACACTTGTGCTCTTGGCCGGGATCGGCGGCGTGGAGTGGAACGTTGACTTGGCAAGTTTTAATGGATTCAAGTGAATAGTTTGCTGGAGGATGTTTGCTTTGTTGTGGTTTGCTTTTTGTTGGGGAGGGCAATTTAATTTTCTTTTAATGTAGGTGAATTTGAATGTTGGTGAAAGTTGAAAACTGCAGAAGTCTTAGAATCTGAAACCTGTATTTTTGGAGATGCCACGTAAGTGTCCCGCAGCATTGCATCCATGTGTCTGTTCCGGGGAATTCACAGAACAGTTACTTTTGTTTCCATGATGTTCAAGCCTTGGCCTCTCTTCTGAAAGAGCTTAAAAAAGGATCCAATTAGTGTCAGTTGCATAATAGGGGGATGTTTTTGTGATGTGGAACCTGCCCACTGGGAACTGGACTGAAATTCAGCCCAAAGATCAAACGCTGGTCGTGAAACCTGGCCCAGATGTGCATGAGTGGAAAGGGGCTGGAAAGCTGTGTATCCTGAGCCACAATCGTGGGATGTGGCTGGCTGGCTGCACACTTGCAGAGGTTCACTCCTTCCAATATTGGTGCCTCTGAAGCGAAAAATCTGAGGGTGTTCCCACATTCAGACCCGGCGATGGGTGTTCAGAACTGCAGCTCCATTCCCTGCTCACACCAAATCAGGTGGGATATTTCCTGCTGTTTCGTGGGATATCCAAAAACTACCTTTTCCCCTTGTCCCAGATAATCCATAACAGCATCCACAGCCTCAGACTCTGTGGAGCAGCTGTGGTGTCCTGCTGCAGGTGACAGACACCTCCCTGTGCTCACTTGTGCCACATGCGGATCCACGAAGGGAACCAGAGGTGCTGAGAACTTGGCATTTTGTCTCCATGGAGAACAGTGAACCTTGCACACCTTGATCCTTGCTCCTATCCTGGAGCTGACAGAGGTGGGTTTTAGGGTGGATTCCTGCCTCTCCAGCTGTCTTTTTCCAGAAGACTTCTGAAAACAGCTTGTCTTCAAAGAGTTTTATATCTGTGAATCTTAGTTGAAATTAAACCATGTTTTATAATGTTGCTGGCACAGGGGAGGGTGTAGCAGCCCTGAATCTCTGGAAAATAAGACTAAAACCCTTCAGAGAAAAAGCAGTGCCCCTAGCAGCCATTGGGGAGGCAGAGCTGAGGAGGAATATGTAGTATCTGTTCTGGAAAGACTGGAATTAGTGACATTCTGCTGATAAAACTCTGTGGTTAGTGAAGAGTAAGCTTCAAGGGTCAGACTTCATTCTGTAATATGTTAATGTTTATTTTCCATGATTTATTTTTTAGGAGTAAATGTAGAACTACCTCCTCCATACGGAGACTGAAGTTTGAGAGTTGTGCAGTGGGAAAATGCACGTGGTTTGCTAAGGCAGTCTGCTTTGGTCTCCAGCTTCCACACTATGAGATCATCACATGCCAGTCAAATTGACAAAAAAAAAGCTGAAAGTTCCCTTTAAAACATGATGCTTGTTAGATTAAAATATTTCTTATTAATGTCCTATTCTTGACAACTGAAGGAACACAGTTGTCTGTGAGTGCCCTGCCTTGCTTTGCAGCCCAGACACCAGTTGCAGTTGGTATATTTTGCTCCAGATTCAGAGCTGTGGTGACCCTGCCAAATAGTTTCTTAGTTGCATTTAAAAATAAAAAGGCTGTTTAGACATTACAATCCACAGAGGGTCTGAAGTCAGTGTGTCCTAAGATGAATACAAATCACAGACAAAAAGTGTTTTGTTGGGAGGATCACAAATGGAACTGATTACTGCTAGACAGTGTGGATTTCCTTCTGGAGGATGGAGCTGATAGAATTCCTTCCTGACAGCTCGAAATTATAATTGAGTTGGGGGGGTTTTGTCTGTGTTTCAAACTTTACCAACCTTCAAAATGAGTAAGAGGGATGGAATCCTAATCCATCTGCAGTTCTGCCTATAAACTAGGATTTAAAACTAAATATCCATCCAAGTGCCCAGTTCCTGTGGAGGTACTGCTGACAATGTCAGAGCTGTGGTTTTGTCAAGCATTTAACTTCATGTGGCTTAAAGTATCTCTTACAGGTCAGTGACAGAATTCAATTTACAGATTGACCACAGATCTCATTTGGGGAAGAACCGGTTTCATTATGGCATTGAGTAAAATGGAATGCTCTTTTTAAAATGTTTCCCTACCAAGTCTTTGCTACACATTTAGCAGAACTCAACCTTTGGGAAAGCTCTAAGAGGTTTTCTTAAGAATTATGGATGCACTGGTGAAGAACAACCCCTTCCCTTTGCAGTAGTGTTCATCTCTGACTGCACTACTACTTTTTCCACCCAGTTTTCCCCTTCTTCCCTCTTGTTTGCCTCCTCCTTTCTGCTGCCTACAGAAATCAGACTATGCTTTGCTCGATGATGGAGGAGGGCAGGGAATAGGGAATGATCAGGGCAATGATGGTCTGGTTTTTCAGCCCTCTTTGCTCTTTTGGGACTGATCTGCCTTTCTCCTGCAGCCAAGGACAGGCCACCTCACCCAGCTGAACTTCCTCCATCTTCCAGGCTACTGAGTTTGAGGGCAGTTTGAGTCAGGATAGGCCTGGAGCTTGTAATTTCTTGATCAGGAAGAATTTCTTCACAGAAAGGGTGGTCAAGCAGTGCCGAGGGAGGTGGGGGAGTCCCCATGCCTGAAGGTGTCCAAGGAACAACTGGATGTGGCACTCAGAGCTCTGGGATGTATTTTCCAGCCTTAATGATTCCGTGAAAGGCTGACTGGGCTCTGGAAATAACTATGGTGTTAGCCTAAAATAGAAACAATTTGAGTGTTTCCCTAGCAGTCATGAATGTCACATTTTTATGCCATGAGTTACCTCTCTTTTTTAATTAAAAGTAAATTTTTTTAATTAAAAGTAATTCCGAGGAATGACTTAGTCCCAGTGATAAGTGGGGTTTGCCCTGCCTTGGAAGGGCTGTGCTGGACAGGATGGGTGTAGCTTTCTGCAACTTGCCTACAAAGCTAAATAAATGCAAAGCAGCTTATTGCTCAATTATGCTGACTTTAGCAACTAGGTAGGACAAATTAAAAAAAGAAAAAGAGAGTATCTAGTCTCAACCTGGGTATTTAATGGGTCCCAAAATGTGCTGAACTCTTTAGTCTAAATGGGCTCTTTAGTGTGGTGTCAAATAAGCTAAAAAGCGAGGGGAGCTTTACAAAGCTGCCTTCATTGTTTAAACTTGTTTCACTCACGTTAAGGCTAATGTACATTTATTCAGACTGACAAAGTGCTGAATTTACACAACAGGGATAGTAATAATTAGGTCAGGTCAGATACTTTTTAAATGGCGGGGGAGAGGAGGTGGAAATACTTGACTCTTATGCTATGAATGGAAATGATTATTAGCACTGGCCAGGCCAGTGTGCTGTTCTCACCCCCATCGATTCCCTTTCACAGCCAGTGCCCCGTCCCTGCTCCCACCCTGTCTGCTCCAGCTGCCAGTCAGGCTTTGCAGTACATGTTACTTGTGAGAACACGGTATTCCTAATGTGATTAACATGTATTTTTAGTGAGCCCGGAACTGTCCTTTGAAGTTGGTCTCCTCATCCCTGCTGGGATCTGACTGGGACCAATAAATCACATTAACAAAATTGAAAACTCGGTCAATATAACTGCATTGTCTGTTCAAGCTGATGAAGTTGAGCTCTGATCTTTCACTTAAGGCTACCCAGTTCTTATATATTTATTGTGTTTACCTTAATTGTTCACGTCCCTGCGGTCCCAGGTGAGACGAGGTGTCTGTACCTTGCACCTTTCTCAGATATTTGGTGTTGGTGACCCCTAGTACAGAATCCCGGATTAGTTAGTCCATGGAGCTCATCCAGCACAGCAGCATTTGTTTCTGCAATACTGTTTTTTCTTGTCTTTTCCTAATATTTGAACAAGCACTCTTGTTTAATTCAGTGAAACAGAATCTGCTTGCATTTGAATTGTGGTCAGCAGCGGTCATGCTGGGCTGGTTGGATCTCTTAAGCTGGAGCCATTTACTTTCCCACTGAGATTTAAGCTACTCCAACCTCATTTGGTTTGCGTCTCCCCATTCTTTTAGGAATCACTGAACACTCTCCGATCGATGGGCACAGCCAGCCTGGCATTCTTGTGTTTTCCGTAAAAAGAGCTGGAATTTGACTGAATGGAGGAAGATTCAACTTCCCTAACTACCTCAACTACCTTGACAACAAGCACCTGT